AGGGTTTAACAATATTTTAATTATTATAAAAAAAATTCTAGATCAGTTAATTTTATTGCTTACTCATCTTAATTTTAATTTCATTTGTTATTAGATTATAAAATTATTTTAAGAAAATTTTATATTATTTTAAATTTTTTTATTTTTCATAAAGTATCTTCAAACATAAATAAAAATCAATAAAATATTAGATAATTGCTGAAAATAAGTTAATTTGTAAAAATTACTAGGTAGTTAAAAACGAAAAAATGCATTAGATTTTGTAAATTCATGTCAATTCTGGTCATTCAAACTACCTCAGAACTTATCAATACGTCAATAAAGATCAAAGAAAATACTTAAGAAATGCTTGTATATTATTTTTATGCTATAAGTAATATTTGTTTCAAATCAGATTAATTTAACTTTAAATTTGCTAATTTTACTCAAATAATGTGTCACAAATATATATTTTATTTTTGGAAGAATTTTTAAAACCGATAATTTTGTTTTGTTTACAAATTTCTTAAAATTAAGAGAATAGCTGCTTTTAAGAACTTTTTTTTAAATTGAGCAAATATTTAACATTCCAATCTATATAATTTCCATTTGAAATACACCAGAATGTTTTACTTACTGGAAATAATAAATTTAATTATTTAGCTTTCAATTAAACCAAAAATGAAATATTCAAGAATGCTTTTTCATTAGGTATCAAAAATTTATACAGAATTCGTGAAAGAGCCTAATTAATACAAATATAAAATTTGTCACTTAGCTGGTTGATGTTATATTCAGCACACCGACACCAGAGTTTCGTAGACGAATTGTTTTTGTAATCGTTCAGTTCGCTCGTCAGGAGGTATCGGCAACTGACTATATATATATATATATATATATATATATATATATATATATATATATATAATTTATTGTAAAATTATAACATAAATATGTTATAAAATCACTACAAAAGTAGCCATTTTGTTTCAACACATCTGGTTAAATTTTGAGCTATGTTTACAGTTAAGAATGAATTCATTCCTTTGATGTAAAAGATGGGTCATGTCTTTAAATCTGATGATTTCAAATTTTTATTAAGGCATAAATAACAAGGTGCATATAGAGAATCACAGCTCTCTTAATTTCCATTTAACAGTAGGTGTCTTGTTTTTCTCTTTTAAACTCCAAAAATACTTGGACGTTGAAGTCTTGTACACATGATTATTACTGTTGAAAAGATTGCACATGTCTCCGCCAACGTTCTTTGAATATATTCATAGTACTTCCATTGTAATTTTAATATTGGGGTTTTCTAGTGTAGAAATTGTACTCAAATAAACTAGAGAACTAGTTAAACAATTATTTTGTAATGGGGAATTATTAGGATTATTACAATTGCACAAGTTATTATTAGTGTCATTATACTTAGTTTTACTCGTTGCAACCTTGCGAGTAGTCAAGTTTTTTGAGTTTTTATACTTGTTGAAGACTCTGTTATTATGTATCTTAATTATTTTTCCAGGTTATCAGCACAACTATAGCTTAATTTAAAGGTATTATAATTGAATATTTTACTGAGTGGATTAGTTTCGGGGTCGGGGAAATGCTTTTTGATAATGTTTAGAAATTTATGTCCTAGTTTGGTTTTAACCATTAGGTTGAAAGAAGGAAAAAACCAAATGATCTTTCTGTATCTTCTTTTCTTATTGTGGTCATAATTAACAGGATTTCTATATTAAATAATGGTACCATTGTAGCCCCTATTTCTAAGGGCAGAATTATAAAATTCACAATGTTTATTAAGGCCCTCTTTGCTAGAAGAGTTAGTACTTATCCTAAATTCAATGGCGGAGGATATGTGCTTGATAACAGAAAAGGGTGGTTGGAATTAGCATGTACATAAACCGGGTTAGAATTAACTTTCACATAAGGTTGAAAGAGCTATTAGTAAGGTCTAGGGTGACATCCAGAAGATCTACCTATTTAATGTTGGTCGTAACTATAGTCTTAAGACGTAAATCCTTAAACTCCCTATGGATCATTTTTCTAATGTAATCTACATTAATTTCTGTAGAGTCTTTAACTACTGATAAGCCACCATCTCTATATAATCCTACACTATTAGAATCTAAACATTCAAAGGCACTTAATTTGTATAAAAGAAATAATCCCACCAATCAGAGGCTTCAGCAGAATCTAAAGAATCCATTGAAATGTTAAAATTATCACTGCAAGACTTTTTGGTTCACTGTTCTTCATTGTAAACTAGAACAGAATTTCGGCATTTCAAGATTATATCCATTTCATTCTCAGAAATATTATATATATATATATATATATATATATATATATATATATATATATATATATATATATATATATATATATATAATATATATATATATATATATATATATATATATATATATATATATATATATATATATATGAAAATAATTATATATTATATCGTTCATTTATTTTGCTCCGCTGTGGCACCATGCCACTTCATCAGTTTAATTGTGGTTCAGAGTGACATTCAAGGCAAAATAGAGCAATTGTTTGCCGGTTCCTTTTACACCGAAGATCTTGTGATTAACCCATCCCTCCTCGCAGAATTTAAAGACTTACAAGCCAGCAGATGGTTTGCATTTAGTTTTCATTTTTCTAGACTTGTGATGGTACACAAACCAGACAACATGTCCCCACTTTCGGCCGTATCGACAAGTACGAAAGAAATACAAGACATTACATTTGCGTAAGGGCTTGACTGCAGGAGTTGCC